AATGAATGAAAGTGTAATTATTTTTATATTTAATTGGATTGAAAAATCAAAATCATTTATTTTTGACCCAAGAAACTATCTAATATGAGCCCTTAGCATGGCTCGAAAGTAGTCGAGTTACTTATTAAACAGTTACTCGATTAAATGACTATGTATGCTTTACGAAAGTTATAATACCAAAATGTGTATATGTATTTAATTCACTGATAGTCTTTTAACATTCGGAGCGTTTCCAAGTTTTGTTCAAATAAGAATTGTTTAATAGGAAATCTAACCACATTCTTTCGAAAATTGTTCGACTTATTTGTCTAACTGTCTTGCTGATGGAACGGCTGGGAGTGCGACTGCCTATCAAGGAGACTGGGGTTCGACTCTTGGATTGGGCAAAACACTATTGAGAAAGAATCAAAAAAGGAAATTCCCTCTATTCCTCCCGCTCATCCCTAAGATAAAGGCTTGAATTTTTGAACATCACCACCCGGTGACCACTGCTGATCAAAAGTCTCTTCTCGCACAGAGAAGGTTTGAGTATTAATCACTACGCTTGCACAATGCGGGTTGACGATTTCAAACTTATAATTAGAATTCTAAGGTTTCCTCGCGATGTTTTTCTTTCACCGTTTGTCAGTGGTGTCTAATAATCTTAGAAAGTACATATAACTCGGATTAAATCACATTGGTACTTATTGTTGGTAAGTTTCGAATTCCTACTTACCTATGTAGAAATGTTTTTGTATTATTGTAAGCTTTAGTTTTCTATTTCGTTAGTATTCCTTATTCGTCGCAAAGTACCTAAAACATTTTTTTCTTAAACCACGCGTCTCTACTTACGACTCCAACAAAAAATGTATAAGTAACGTTTTTGCGAAAATGCGAAATGAATACGCAAAAACTTACTCGCGCGTCTCAGCAAACGCCATTTTATTTCCATAGATTATAGATATGAAGACAGGTTTTATATCAGACATAACGTTGACACAGGAAACCAGTTTATACAGCCTTGAAAATGTTACCAGTGCTTATTATTATTATTAATAGAATTTCTTCTTTGAATAGTTTATTTGTCAAGTCTTGTAGTTAATAGTTATTGTTGAGCGGAGTTGGAAAGATTAAAAAGAGATAAATATTTTTAATTTAAGCTTTCATAGTAGAAAAAGACACATTCGTTTGCATGTTTACTAATTAAATCAATGTATTACCTAATCATTTTAAAAAGTTTTAGTATAATTAGTTGCAGTGTTTGAAATTTTGTCTTATGTACAGCAATCCCTTACAAGTTGCGAGTTTAGCACCATACCAAATTCCCGAACTGTTCGATTCCGATAGATAATTCCAAAAAGTTCAAATTATCGTAAATCCCATGAATTTTATGTCCAACCTGAATGGCTTATGGCTAACTGAACCCGAAATCCCTTGAACGGCATAAGCGCTTATAACCACTCGACCAGCGAAACAGTTTTTGTCTCGCTCTAGTAAATAAGTAAGTAAGAATAGTAAGTATCTCCATTATGTCATTGAACCTTACGTTTTTATGTAAAGCACTAGTATCAGAGTCAGCCGGTTCGATTCCAGTTACATCATCGACATCACGTTTGATAGCATCATCAATCACATCATACATCTATTTAAAGCGAATGATTATGTCTGTCTGTTTGTTGCAGTTTATCTCTTAAAGTGATGGACTGATTGCGGTGAGATAAATTATGATGTAAGTTAGAATTGTTATCCTCTGAGATTTTTGTATCAAAATCACAGTCTAATCTAAGAATGCATTTCTCTGAATCGAAGAATACATGTTTCATTTCCTATTAGGAAAATCAAAAGCATGAGAAAGATGGATGCAGTGAAAGAAACGAAATTTAAATAGAATTAACTACTTATTAAAATCATTACTTTATTTTAAATTAAACATGTTCGTTTTACTGAGAAAATGTACATACCTACCTACAATAAAAAAATAACTCTATAAAACTGCGGCTAAAACCGCGTCAAAATCGTAGTTTTTCTTTTACATTCGTGTTTTATGATTGTAGCCAAATTCCAAGCACGCGATAGTAGGTACTTTATGCCTAGAAATACCTACTAACGCAAAGTAATTTTATAATAGCTTTAAATCACTACTCATTTGTAGTTTGTAGTATTTTTTGTCACTGGCAACATTAATTTAGGAGTCGTGGCTACGTGACCCGCCATTTTAAATTTGTCTAAAAAACGTTGCGTTTAAAAAATGAATTATTTTTTGGTTTGCTTTATGGTTTTTACGTGATTGCTTTGTAGTACTCAAAGGAGTGTTTTTAATAAGTTTTTTTTTTTCAAATAGGAATAGACAGATTTTTGATCTTTCTTTTATATTGCAGATATAGATTTATAAGATACATTATTTTAAATAAACAAATCATACCAATATCAAAAACACTTGCCCTATTCAGAACTCGAAACCTTGTCCCCGATATGACTGAACTGACATTTCCATTATGAAAGGCCAAAAAAGATTGTCAGTGCATTCTGATTTTTTTTTTACTTTTAAGACTTTGAACATCAACATGAACGGCCTGTGATAGTCTACTATATCCGAACTAACGACCATCTCTTTTCTAGATTTCTTCTCTATAGGAATCTACACCTTGGCATGAGCAACTAGCTGCACTTCTAAATTTTTGTTGTTGACGTTCAAAAGTGTCTTCGGTCTAATTGAAATAAATTTTTGTTTATTTTTTTTTTTGTTTTTTTTTTTGTTTAAAAAAAACGTTGCCCCACACTAGGATTTTCTCCTGTGTCGTGGGTGCGTTTACAAACATACAAGTTCACATACACATGACACCCAGACCCGGAACAACAATCTGTGGATCACACAAATTATTTTGACTTTGCCTTCTTTGACTTCTCTGCATAAGAAGGTTGCCATCCACGCTTGGCAGGCTGGAGATGGCAGTCTAAAAGGTTCAGATTTATCAAGATGCTGCTCTAACGTCTATGTATTTAATTCAATTAGTTCTCCAGCAGATAATGTTAATTATAGATTTCAAACCGCGTTGTTAAAAATGACCTTGGAATAGCTGTTACGTGATTACGTCTGCCCGTGCAGTAGCCACTTCATAGATTGTATCAATAAACAAACATAAAATACTATCCATATAGCTACTACATAACTATAGACTCCACTCTGCCTGCACCCGGTGTTTGATTTACCGTGGATTTACCCCATATAATTTTTTTAAAAGTTTCGCGCTAGATAGTAGGTTTTTTAGACGCAAATGGATCACCGCATCAACACCCTATAAATGCCTAATGCTGGGCAAAGCCTCTTCTCACACGGAAAAGGTTTGAGCATTAATCACCACGCTTACTCAATGCGGGTTGGTGATTACAAACTTATAATTCAAAATTATAAGCCCAGTTTTCCTTCACTGTTTGTCAGTGGTGTCTAAATAATCTTAGAAAGTACATACATATAACTCGGAAAAAGTCACATTGGTACTTGTCGTTGGTAGGTTTCGAATATGCACGCTCATGCGTGAGGAGCGGGCATCTTATACCTCCAGGCCACCACGACATTCGCATCACCTGATGGTAAGCAATCGGCACCGCCCATGGACCAGCATTTTTTAATGCATTGCCGGCCTTTTGGGAGTTAAGAATTCGAGGATTGGCTTCAGGGATTGGGGAGATTGAGGAGGTTTCTAAACTGGAGCAGAATCGGGACAAAAACTAGATTATGTTAACGATGTTACTCCAAAGTAATCTTTTCAATGGCGAAACAAGTTTCGAATCCCCTCCTTTTGGCAAATCATAGGAGTTAATACTTTAACTGCCAACTTTAAAACGATGAAAGTCAAACCTCCACTAGCGTCAGGCACCGGTGACTGACATGGCAGTCTAAGGGTTAATAATAACTTATTCTTGAATAAAATTAAAATCAATTCATGTAAAATGAAACTCGTAAAAATACTGATAAACAGAAACTGTTTTAATTTATTTTTTTGTAATGGACTTTTGAAATCAATGTTCTAAGATAATGAGAATTGCATTGTCGGTTTATTCTCATACAGAAAGATATTAAATATCTACAGCCTAAGCTAATAATAACAAAAGAGTACCTAGGTACCTATGTAATACCTATAACTATAAAGCTGATTAAGTATTCAAGGAAATGTTTTGCACCATGACATTTCATTCTCGAACTGCTGAAATTAAATAACCAATGATTATCCAAAATCTCTGGATACGTCTAGGTTATAAACAGAAATACCTACATACAATAAAACTAATGCCAAAAATCGATTGAAATTTATATATATTTTTCGGCAGCAAGAAATTATATAAAGGAGCATACATTACATCTCTTTAAAATCTTCAAATTCCGTCGAGATTATCTGCTACAATGTCAATGAAGAGATCTGTATTCAAAAAATTAATTTGTTTAACCCGGGAATCTAAGTTGCGTTAACTCTATCACCCTACGACACGACAATGCCGCGTGCCGTTTACGGCCTACCACGCGGGTTAAAGTAAAACCACCGAGAAGTGTTAGTCTATGATATTTAAATTTCGAAAAGTATCGATTTCATAATATTTAAAATTACTTAGTAATTTTAAAATGCATGCGAATAAACTTGTTTTTAAAAAAGTTTTTTCGACAACTTTCATTTCCAAAATGTTCAATTACTGGGTCAGTCGTATATTGACAAAATTTTAACAGGAAAAAGGAAGATTTTTTTATTTTAAACATAATCAAATACTGGTACATATGAATATAATAATTCGACTATTAATTAATCACTGAAATTCAAGTAATTTTACTATAACAAAAAATCTATTACAAAAAAATTAAGAAATAAGCTAAATAAATAATCTGTCGCAAATAAGCCAAAGAAAAAAAATTAAACTCAAACATTTTAGGGATGACATTACCAAATGACCCAGAGATTATCGATACCAGCTAAGGAATGTAAACTATCGATTAAATTAAAGAAAAGCAATGAATAAAACATTAATCTCACCTCATTTTAATTCCAATAACAATTCCATTATCATCGCACATAACAGCAATGTTTTCAGTCAAGCACAAAATTTGAATTTAAATTTTAAAATAAAACGAAACCACGAAAACACGTAATCTTTGAACTGTTCAGTGACGTGACATTGTATTATTTGTCACGTTTTCGGTGAAAAAACATCAAAATAACACTGTGTCATACACTTTGCGAGGAAATCGATAAGAAAGCGCGCGTGAACGTCCCCATCCAAGCAATGCCGGTGCCGCACTGACAGACTCTACTAACACACAAACTTACAAAATGGCGTACTTATTTGAGTTTGCGCAATGTGTACTTGCTTCAACTTACCTATTGCGTAGCAAAAACATCTTAATCTAATTAAAAAATCCTATAATCCTATTAAGTAGAGTATTAATAATGTGTTAAATGGTTACTAACAACCTTTTACTCCCGTCAAATGGTTGTAGGGGTGCGTGAAAATCAATATTTACATAATATTCTTCTTTGTTATGTTGCGGCATTTTAGGGTCAATGACCTATTAGTGGAAAAGATTGCGGCTAATTTCTTATTCTTGTAATGGTTATCAATTGACATTAGATATTGTTTATTTTAATATTCCGCAGTTAATTAAGTTGTAAATGTCGGTAGGTAAGTATAGTTTACGTAATCGGTTGACATAATACCGGTAGGTACTCAATGTACTCATCTATCGTCTCGTCTGTCACTTTTTTTTAATGAAGCGAAAGGTATAAAGGTAAAGGTATGATCATCATACTTTTAGACTTAGGAAAGAAACTTCCTTGGAGTCATGCAAGTTTATTCACGCTTATTATTCATCTTTAAACATTTCAAAAATGAATAGGTACCAATAAATTGGGTATAAAAGTAAAATTACGTAAAGAATCTAACTTTTTATAAAGGGTCACCGGGATAAAAAGTACCTACTTACTTGACTCTATAGTCCATCTCTCTGCGAAATTAACTAATTGTTGAGATCCACTCGGCAGTTTTTTGCGCATAAAAAACATCCTCACAAAACATATTAATAGAAGAAGATTATCAAATGTGTTCGAGTTTAAATATAACTTAAAGCACAGCTGCATTACGTATATGGGGCTGACAGAACAGCACCGTACTAAACTTTATACTATACAATGATACTTACAAGGACGACGACACACTTCTTTTCATAGTGACCCTATTCGGTCATTCAGAGCATTCAATGCATACAACAGGAGCTTTTTATAGGATTTAACTCGTCGAGTACCGGTTTTGTAGACACAATTATAGAACAATAGGTTGCGGTCACCGGTGACCGCTTGGTGTTTGACAGTTTAAATTCACTGCTTGCTTCTTTATTTTTTACCCTCGTGTTACTTACCTCGTGTTATTTACTTAGGTATATATACTTAATGCTTCCTTCGTGATTTACCTTCACTCGTGTATATGATAATTTTCGTTAAATAACTGAAGACACAAAATTCACCATGTTTTTTTTCCTAAACGTGTTAGAGGCTTTTTCTCTATGATGAATAGGTGCTTAATTTGTTTGTAAATCACCTTAGTTAGTATCTACTTAATCCCTACTGATATTATTAAAAATATAGCCCAAATAACCAAGTACCCGCATCTTAACTGATTCATTTTCACAACACGTAAAACCACTTTTAACTCGTCGAGTACCGGTTTTGTAGACACAATTATAGAACAATAGGTTGTGGTCACCGGTGACCGCTTGGTGTTTGACAGTTTAAGCGACATGAAGTTGATAAAAATCTTATTGTGTCCTATCTTTAACGGTCTAGATTATTATCTAATCATTTTATTCTTAAATTATATTGAATCACTTCAGTAATCTGATAAGATGTAAGCAAGCGTAACTGGCGCCTTGGAAAAATGTATAGGCAATGTCAAATTTAACAACTTGTCTCAGTTATGAAAACAGGCAAAATTGTGTGTTGAATATCTAATAAGATATTTTGTTTAAGAAAGTTATTAGTAGATTCATATGTTAATTTAATATAAATAATAATGATTATTTGAATTATTACAAAGAAATACAAAATTAATTGTCTTTTTGACGATTTCTATTCTATTCATTTCTGATTTTCTGGTAACACCGACACTAAATTGTCAATGTCATGTGAACCGATCGTGTCAAATTGACATTCTTTGCGCGTGAATTTTGGCGGTTATAGAGTATTTCATGTTTCGAGCAAATAAACAAATAAAATTAAGAAATCATGGCTGAAAAACTCGAGGACCTGAATCTCCCGATGACTGTTGTGACGAGGATAGTGAAAGAAGCACTACCAGAGGGCGTTTCAATATCAAAGGAGGCGCGAACCGGTCTCGCGAAAGCCGCATCAGTTTTTGTGCTTTACGTGACTTCTGCAGCTACAAATATAGTGAAAAATAAGAAAAGGAAGGCTTTGACGGGTCAGGATGTGTTAGACGCTATGAGGGATATAGAATTCGACAGATTTGTTGAGCCGCTTGGCGAAGCTTTAGAACAATACAAACAGATGGTGTCCGCACGGAAATCTGGTGGTGGCAAGAAGAAGGATGAAGGAGAGGAGGTGGAAATGATAGAGGATGACTGATGTGATATTTTGACTCAATAGTGTTAAGTGTATTTAAGTAATTTTGTTAATAAATCGTGTTTTAAACGACCACTTGTTTCTGTACTTAACCTAAAAGTGGTCAATTGGAAGCTCCAGTCGACATAATACATTTGCACGGGCTCGCCGCCCTACCAGAACTAGACCGTCCCGTTTCGCGCGCGCCTCAAAGAGCCATCAGACCACTACAGATAGGGCTCAATAGGGCTAATGCCGATACGGAGCCGTGGAGGACTTAACAGGCTACCGGGGTAGAATCAATAGCTTCCTCCATAGAGTATCTTCCTCTCAAGGAATTAAAGAAACTTTGACTTTCATTTTAAAAGCATAATGGAAGATTATGGATCTTTTTAAGAATGAAATTGGAACAGGAAGAAATTCCAGCTGGAATATGTGGGGCCTATGTACTCTGTTTTTATACATACATTCTGTCTTGAATGTGTGAACATAAATGATAAATAAATAAATAAAATTTTACATATTAGACGCACAAGATGAACTACTCTATTTGTTAATCAATAAACATCAAATAGGTTAAAATGAATCTAAGTTTTTTTCTATAGTCCATAAGATTCAACAAGTATTTATTGAACTGGGACTGATCTAAAACATTATTTTGTATTTATAACACCAAATGGAAAGATTTACTTTCTTAAAGCAAATTGTCCTAACATTTTTTATAAAAGAACTAGACATGGGTTTTGTGGAAATAAAAACAACAATTTTTGTTCATCACTTTATTCAGGAATAAAATTTGTTCAGAAACAATCTTGAAATAACATTGAACCGACATTTTATTACACCTCAGGACACTACCGCTACCTATGGCTTATATACAATCTCCGCAGCCCACCGTACCTACCATCTGATATAACGAAAATAAATATCCATATATATCTAATTTATCATTTCAAATGCTATTATAATCTAATTTATAATTTTTATCTCTGGTTATAATTCTTTTTTTTAACTTTATTTTTATTAATACTATGAATTTTATTTGGAGAAAAAATGGAAAGATCTTATATCCTAAATAAATTGTCATTAGTTTTGTACGAGCTAGTATATAGATACTACAAGGAAGCAAAGCTAAGTAACTAAATTATCCGATTTCCAAAATATTGCAATCTCTCAAAATTATGTTTCAATTTAGACAAATTAGCTTTTTTTAAGGAATGATCCCACTGCAGGTTCTATAATAGTAAATTAGTAAATAATTATTGCTTGGTTTTCAATCTCTCTGCTAGAAGTTAATCTTCATTCCCTGCACTGAGATCAAAAGACAGAGAAAATAGCCCAAATAAATACTAACCACATCTAGAATTTTATCACAAACTAATATTTGAAAATATGCAGCTCTAAGATTCCATACACAGATTAAAAACGTAATATCCAAGAGCATTTAATGCTAATTTAAATGTCTACAATTTTATAATTATTGTTTTAATAGACTTTTAATGCCAGACTTTGTTTAATAATAATAATATATTTATTTTGTTAAATTCTAAAGAGCAGGTAATTATTATCATCAATATAATTAGGTTTTATTTGTTGGTCACACACACATTACAAAAAAAAAAACTTCTAATGCAGATATTTGTCCCTATTACATGTTTTTAAGCATGGAAATGAAAAGTTATGAATCACTAAGAAGTTTTATTCAATAGGCTATGGTTGAAGCACATACATAGGTGCTTTTCTTCTTGAATGGCAACCGAGTCTCCAAAGGTATGTACTTACTCATTTTGTATTTTTATCTCAAATGCAACCAACAAATAAAAAAGCGTATTAACTTCAGTACTGGTGTTCTAGTTTTCCTTTTAATTCTAACGTATCGAAATATACCTACAATTAAGTCTAAATACTAAACGGGACTATAAAATATGATCGATACTTTAATGCTACCGTTTTTCATATTACAGCCGTTCTCAGTCCAACTGCCAAATGTTTTGGCATTCTCCGTATTATTAAACAATCATATTAATTAGTTTATTATTTGATTTCGTTATTAGTTATGTAATATTATGTATGATTATGACACTTTTAGTAAATGGCGCGAAAAGCTTCATTTGATTCCACTTTCAAAATGAATATTTTACGCGCACTTTTGTTTTTTTTCTTTCGGGAATTACGCTTACCGGCTTTTTAGTATACCTTTGAAGATTTTTAACAATAAAAAAACAAAAATTATCGACCTTGTTCAGATATAGAGATTGTAATAAACTAGTTAATATGATTGTATGAGAATAGATTGACAGGGATAGACGAAGCTAGAATTTTAATTCGTCACTGCACTATGCACATAAGTTGACAAAACAAAACTAAGTGTACATACATATACCGCGACCAATCAAGGAAGCTGTTAGCAAGTTCTATGGGCGTAGCCAATTTTAACAATTCCATTTTTGTAAATTGTGGGATAATTCCAGATTTTATTTAGTTTAAAATAAAAGAAAAACAATCTGGTTGGATAATCGATTTTATGCTTATGGAGTCTGCATTTCTTGAGGCGCTAGTGTAGCTAAGGCCCATTACCCTATAGAATTGAGGCTGATTGAAGCTTACGTTTCAGTAATGTCATCTAGCTACAAAATCGAAAAACCCTCAGTTATTTCCACATGTTGAATTACTTACTCCTTGGAGAACATATCTTTGCAAGTTAATTAATGTTTTTCATGTCTGGCTACACCCAATATCCTACAAATATAACGTTAAGTGGGGCATAGAAGCAATACCTTACAATATGTTATCTAATTTTACATACATCTATAACTATTGCATCAACCCGTCAACAATTAATGCGAACATTTAGTAAATACATCAGAAACCATGATCCTCCGTAAATATCTAGTATTTTAAATTCACAATTCACTGAAATCACTGAAAAAATACACTATATACAACACAATTATGAAACCTTTACAATCTGTATGACTAATAAACTAGAAAAAAAAACTTAAGTCTGGGTTGTCAAGTAAAAAAATCAGGGTAAAATAAATGGGGAGAAAAAAATAAAAAGAAAAAAATGTACGAAATAATTTTTATTGGAAGGTATATAAATAAAAAGGTTTTTAAAAAAGCTACACATACTGCGTTTTGTTTCAACGAGCGGACAGCGAGGTTTTTTACAAAATAAGAAAATATTTTTGATCTATACAACTTGGGTTATTTCATAAAAATAAGCATTTGTTACCGACATTTTTAAATACAACTAAGATATTTGTCATAGAATTATACAACAAAACGTAAATAAAATTGACTATGTGTGCTTTATTTCAGTAAATTACAGGATTTTTACTTCATAACATTCATATTTTGAATAAAAAAATAGATGTTTAATTTAAGGAAAATAAGACTTCGTGCTATCATGTACTGAATAATAAAAATTAAAAAATCTCTAAACTGTTTTGCTCGAATTTTGAGATCTTTTGGTCGACAACTATCAATAAAGGCGGTAAGGCAAAAAATATTACTGATGTAAAGACCAACCCTAAGATATCAGTCGGAAACTATTAAAAAAAGAGAAAGAAACACAACCATTAAAAAAATCTGACTTCAAAATCAAATTAAGAGACAATTCATTGAGATTTCTAAAAAAATTAGTTACTGGGCGCCAAACGAGCTAAAAATTAAACTAAACATATCGCTGTCCTTTTCAAGCCCTGTTTGTTAGAAAGAGATAGTTATAACACAGTTTTTTAATAAGCTCTTGTCTATGCTGTGTTGTAGTTGACACTGAACAGAAAATTATTGACAAATCTCGAATATTTCAATTTCAATGAGAAAAAAATATGGATATTCTAACCATTTTGCCATTAGACATTGTTTTACAAAAATGTATTTTTTTATTGTAACTATATGGAGACACTTAAGGACAATGTATTGTTCTAGCCATTAATTTCAAGAAAATTTCGATTAATAGCTATCGTGTCTAACAAAGTGGCACAGTAATCGAACTTATCTCTGAATATTTTGTGGATAATAAACATTTTTGTAAAACTACGTCTATGAATAGTATACCAAATCCATAAAAGTGTTTCAGTCCACTGAAAATATGAAATAAATAAATTAAACTGAAGTTTCGTATAATCTCGCTACCACGGCTTGATTGGTACGACCAAAAACATAGTTTATAGTACAAAATATTACTAAATTTTAAGCAAGAAATAACTGTGTTTTTAATATTTCTTTATTATCCAATTGATGGCATCTATAATAAGAATATTATTTTTATTGTACTGTAAAATATATTTTGGTTGCATTTATCTATGTCATGGTCGTAAAATATAGCAAGATCTTTTTATACACAGCAAGCTAAGACGTCCGTTCTTCACCAAATCCAAATCACTATTAAATCCATGTAATTTTTGGTTAACGGTGTTACCAGCGAAAAAAAATTACTGTCAAAATTGCCATTACAAAAAAAAATAATTACAATAATAATAATAATTATGACTAACGATATTATACAGATTCGCTAAAAACTAATTGGAATAATATTATTTTTATATTTACAAAAAATAAAATGAAAAACAAATATTACAGAGGCGTTTCCTTTCGTTCTACAAATTTCTATTAAAATGAAAAATTGTCTTTTATATATTTTTTTTTCGTTATGTTATTATCACTCGTGTGATATCGATATTAAAATTAAAAAATATTGAATAAATAAATTTCTATTTATTTATATGTAAAATATAATGAGTAAAAAATCTTGTTAATATGTATTTTCGTTATGTATAAGGGAGCTAGAGATGTCCCAATCACAAGATTTAAATATTAACCGTAATTAGTGATGTGCTGAGTAAGACTTTGAAGTATCGATATTTTGAGATTCAAAATCTTACTTAGAGCATTGATTACTTTAATATTTTATACACGTTTGAGTTAAAATACCTAAATAATGCAATCACAGCGTTCAACTGTTAGATATTAAAAGTTATTTCGCGTATTATCCTTTATATTTTTGTTACTGGCAACACTTTTGCAGTTGCCATATTAAAATAAATATTTTTTTCACAGAATACAGTGAAAAATTTAATAATCGACATTTTTTAGTTAAGTGAAAGATATTGTTGTCCCTTTCACACACTTCCGTTCAAAGACTAAAAGTCTATGGTTTATAGATATTCAAACACGTTGTAAAGAAGAGAGTAAGTGGGAAAGATATGGACAAATCACAAATATGTTCTTGGGTAAGTAGAATTCAAGGTAAAATTTATTTTACTAATACAATTGTATACTAAACCTTATTTGTACGTCTAATAAGGTCAATATTGATTGAATCATTGCAGACTTTAACTAATACTAAGAATTTCAAAATCTGCAGCTCAAACACTGTTCGACACGAGAATCGAACTCAAGACTTCACGATGCTCGGAGCTTACCAATAAAAGAGGAAAATACCTCTTCAACTCAAATTGAACCTAACTCTATACTAATAAGGTTTAATATACAATAACATAGTAATGTCCCTTGATATTCTGACCCAAGTTAATTATAATAACGTTTCGTTTGCTAATCAAACTAATTGCTTTTGTTTTAGGAATGATTTAATTCTAAATACTTCTTATGTAGGTATTGTAACTCTATAAATATCTATAAATAAAATTGAAGTGTCTGATTGTAATATTGAAATAACCGCTTTATACTACATGCATATGAATATACATACGATAGACATACCAAAATAACATATTATACAATTTTTGTCTGTCTGTCTGTTTCTTTGTACTGGCTAATCTCTGGAATGGCTGGACCGATTTTGCAAGACTTTTATTGGCAGGTAGCTGATGTATTAAGGAATAACATAGGCTTTTATTTTGGAAAATTGAAACTAAAAATAATGATGTTCTAAAATGTTCTAAAAAGAGTAATGGAGTTTCTTGCTTGTTCTTCTCCATTCGAATCTACATTTTGGAACGAGCATATAGCTTTACCGATGGACAGACACACTATTATTTATTTTTATTGACGTTTCAAAAGTACCAAATCATGGTTTAAATAAAAAATCCTTTAAATTTGACTTTGCCATGCTCAAAAGTGTTCAAAAATCGTGTCGATACGCTACCATGCATTAGGCGAGCATGCTAATTCTGTGTGTCTTTCGGAACACACTAGTGACAAGTTTTTAATTGAAGCATGTTTTCGTGCTTAAAATGTCTCCTATATGTCGGAATACTCAAACGCTACTCAATTTTAAGTCGTGCTTAAGTATAGTTCTGTCTCTACAAATTATTAGTAAAATGACAGAGATGGCACGATATTTAAGCACGACTTAAAATTGAGTAACGTTTCAGTATTCCGGCATTAGTTATAAAAAACCTGCCTACAATGTATAGATGTAATGTTATACATATATTACATAACATCACACCTCTTATCCCCGAAGGAGTAGGCAGAGGTGCACATTATGCCACTGTACAATGCAACATCCGCTTTTCACTATTGATGTTATGAGTCCCATGTAATAGGGGGTGAACCTATTGCCATATATCGGGCACAATTCCAGACACCGTGCTACTACTGAGTATATTTAAAAATCCAGTAATATTTTGCCCGACCCGGGAATTGAACCCGAGACTCGCAATCGCACTTGCGACGACTCGGCCGACGAGGCAGCCATGTAATGTTATATTCAAATTAAATTTTCAAAGAGTTACAATACACTACATAGAAGTATTAAAATGGCAGTGATGTGGGGAATATTTATCGATTAACTAAATTATCGATAAATATAATAAATAACTAAACACAAAAGGGAAGACGACTGTCTTATCCGTCTGGTTAGTTAATGAAAGATATCAGACACGTATCTTTGCTATTATGAATTTTTAGATGCAATAACAAAGCGGGTTCAATACCCGCATAGAAGAATTATACATATTTGTGTAGTTCAGTTTCGTTCTAAATCTTGATGTTATGTGTATATTTATATTTGTTCATGATACGTGAGAAAATTCGTATGAGGGCAAAACATATACCCTGACCTTCGTGAGACATACTAAATTAATTATTATGTTTTCGGCTTAGTCAAGCAACTGTTTAACGAACTAGACTAGTTTCAAGCCATGCTGAAGGCTCATACTCTAATACAATTCATATAGAAAAAATATGTGTTCAATATTTTTTTCATCATCTAACTGACGAAACTAAATAGATGTTTTCTTTTTATAAATATAATATGCCATCTTCCCATTTCGACGAAAAAAACACGCTAATTACGAATTTTATAAAATCGTTGCTTATCCGAAATGTTTGAATTTAGAATGTACGCCATCTTTTAAAAGGCTAGTGGTGTTCTTTATTTAGTTAACTAATCGACTATAGTTTATCGATTATCAACATTTTAAAACATGAATTTGAATACTAGGTATCTTAAACTTATTATTTGTCGATTTTGAACTTAATTCTTTATAGTATTAGACATAATATGTTTGTTTTGATCGTGACATTAGTATAACATGAACTTGAAATGGTTCAACTGCGTTAATATTGAATATTGAGAAAAAACCAAAAATCTTAATTATCCTTTGCCCAAATCGGGAATCAACCCCAAAGACCAACAGGTTTTTGTTTTAAACACTGCTAAACACTACAAAATAGTATTTTGTCTAATTCTATAATAAATAAAGTAAGTTTTGAATACTGTCACTAGAGACGTGCGTTACCTTCCTTTATCGATGTTTTACATAAAGTATCGATATTAATTTTGCCGATTAATCGCCTGTTCTAGCGTTGTAAGGTAACTCACTTGTGTATAAATAAACCTATTGCTTTAAAATGGAAGAATACATACACTTGTGATCTTTTAATTGATTAATACTTTATTAAAATACAAAACGAAACTGTTGAGTTCAAAACGAAATGCTAAAAACTAGGACAAAAAAGCGTCCTCAAAGTCACATCACTATATCGACTATCGATATGATTCTATCGACATGTAGAGAACTTCACTAAAAAACAATATTTTACAATAAAACGAAAGATTGCGTTTGACGTTGAACATTTCTTGTGGGAAATAAAACAGCCTTATTTATCGACTATTTAGTCGGCTAGTGTTGGGACAGTGGCACTAGATAGTGCTGTACCGTGGCACTACTAGTGATGTACCTTAGTAGGAGGCTTCGTGGCCAGCTAGTATGTAGAGATCGTTTCCGTCTTCACCGGAAAGCGTGTTGTTTTGAAGAACGTGTGATTCCAGGACTACCACCCTGGAAAATATAAAATTAACATTGTAAGACTTATTCAAAGATAGCCATTACTTACGTTACTTTATTAATGGGCATTGGACTTTATTGAAAAGGATTTAAGTTAAAAATGTGATAAAGAATTGAAACAGTTAAAGTATTTTCAGAATTAAATCGCTGATGGCTCAACCGGAGTGATATTGAAAAGCATAGTGAAACAACTACAGCGTTGTGTTCCGTTATGTCATTGATGATGCTGGAGGCCCGATTACTCCCCTCCTTAATCTCCCTAACCCCAGAATCCTTAACAATCCTCAAATTCCTAATCCCGAAACACCGATAATGCACTTGTAACGCCTTTGGTGTTCCAGGTGTCCATGGGCGACGCCGATTGCTTACCATCAGACGATCCGTCTGGTCGTTTACCGACTTTATCACATAAAAAATCCATTTTACCGAATAGTAGGCCAATTTAAACAATAAATAAACATATTAGTACATACTTATCATGCGGCAGTAGCCTGTACGCGCGGCTGTGGTCGGTGATCTCCTGCGTGACGTCGGCGTTCCGCAGCGAGCGGCCCTGCACGCCGTGCCGGTGGAAGGCCAGCACCGAGTCCGCCAGGCACACTGCCACGACAAACATTTACTTATTACTAACTTTTGCCCGTGAAAGCAAAGACAAAGGCTTGAGTTAATTATACATAATTATTATAAACCGGGGAGCCAGTCGATGCAGGTGGTGAGTTGTCGGTCAAGGAGGAAGACTTATGCCTTGTTCGCACGTCGCTAGTACTTTAGTCGAGTTGTGAATATTTAGTAATTCTCTCTCACTTCCATTTTGGGACAGAAGCGAGAGAGGACTATTGAATATTCGCTACTCGACTAAAATACTAGCGTAATGTGAACAAGGCATATGGGGAATGCCTTTGTCCGGCATTGGACGACTTTCGGCTCTTGTTGTTGATGATGATAAATTGATAATGATTATTATAAAACCTTCTATTTGAATTCTTCAAGAGAAAGGTTCCTATATTTATTAAAACAACAAACTAAATCAAAATCCATTATTTACGAAATTTTAAAAATCTATGGCGACTTCGTTTGATGCTATGTAGTGATACCTTTTTATGTTAAATAGAAGTATTTTATAGAATAAACGCCTTGATTAATAAATTCAAATTATTTCATGTTCGGAACAACTCTTTGTGTAATCCATATATTGCTGTTCTGGGTCTGGGTGTCATGTGTATGTGAACTTGTATGTTTGTAAACGCACCCAAGACACAAGAGAAAATCCAAGAGTGGGGTGACGATTAAAAAAAATAGGTAAGTTATTACGTCAACCAAGTTACGTTAATTTGTTTTATTTTTTTTTAAAGAGACAAACCCGCCACATCCTCCTAAAACCTCTGCAACTCCTGTAAGCCAGGATCTACAGTAGATTCAACCATGAAAACACCGGAACACTGAAGTCCGACGCGTCCCAGGGACATGAGTAACTGCCTTGGTTCCCGCAACGAAGTGAATCAGAAGATATAAAGTTATGTTTTATAACAAAATTTCAAGTATAATAAATAATGTTATTGTTGAACTTCTTCTATTTAAAAAGAATAATTCGTATCTACGTTTCTCCTGCCCTGCGGGGTACAATACGCCCCCAATACTCACATATACTATCGATATTGAAGTCGAACTGTATCCGTGCCAACAGTTTGTTCCTCCGTTTGTCCTCGTCTGGCCGCCAGCGACTCTCTATGCTAGGGGGCAGCACTGGGATTATGTCCACCACGTTCTCGTGACACACTAGTACCTGGAAATGTTATTAATAAATGTTTAGTTTCATGTTGATAGAGAGATAGATACACATCTATCTCACTCACAATAGCATTAAACAGAAGTCAAAAAAGCTTACTTTTAATGTATATTTTGTGATAAAAGTGACCAATAGTTTCAAGAAGGCTCCAAGGCCTTTAGCCAAACGCCACTTTAGCACTTGTCTACAGAGAGAGTAGAAAACTAAATGTATCCTGAGGATGACATTGACAAATGTCAAAATTTACGTCAATTCCATATAATTTGGTTTTCTATTCTACAAGTAGACAAGCGCTAAATGGCATTTGGCTATAGCTGCAAGTTCCTACATCGCACATGCAAAGTTTACAAGCGAATAAACACGAATAGAAACTCCCAACGAACAACTGTTGGGCAGAAAGCCCGCCAGGGACGATCACCTCGCCTGGTCGGAGGGTCTTCCTTTTCCGATATTAGAGAACTTTCCACTCTGCTCCCTAAAGTGGCACTAAGTGTTATGTAAGGGTATACTTTAAATAAGTGAAAGTAAGGTATACTAACGGAGTCCTTATTAAGTTGATGCACGGCGCGGAGTGTATGCAGTCGCTCGGGCCTGGGGATGACAGTGTTGGAGCCTCCCACGCACGCCTCCAGCTCGTCCGAGTGGAACCAGCTCGCGCCTGCAACGGGAGACAGCACTGTATTGTACGCAGGACCGACACGGACAAATGTTATTGGATGGAGTATAATATATAACTGCAACTTTAACCAGTATATAGTTCTGGCCCTGGGAAATTTTACAAGAAATCTTAATATTTATTTAATATATCATTCATCTCACGCATTGTTGAGATTTTTGCCTTGTTGGCCGAGTGGTCGCAAGTGCGACTGCCGGGCAAGTGGTCTCGGGTTCGATTCCCGGGTCGGGTAAAGTATTACTAATAGTAGCACGGAGTCGGCATTGTGCCCGGTATATGGCAATAGGTTCATCCCCTATTACATAGGGCCCATAACATAAATGGTGAATGAAAAGTGGGTGTTACATTGTACAATGGCATTAAGTGCCGTAATGTGCACCTCTGCCTACCCCTTACTATTGCTTGTACCAGTAACGTACCGGAGTTGATGTTGATGAGGTTGAGTCGCATGGGTTTCCTGGTGGCCCCGACACACAGGAGCGGGTACTCCAGGTCCGGCGTGATCACCAGCTCGAACACCAGCAGGGGCGACGGCAGCACGCACTCTATGTTCTGGGGGATTAAACATAATTATCAATACATAGTATAAAACAAAGTCGCTTTCGCTGTATGTCCGTATGTATGCTTAGATCTTTAAAACTACGCAACGGATTTTGATGCGGTTTTTTTTTAATAGATAGAGTGATTCTTAAGGAAGGTTTGTATGTATAATACATGCATATTGCACCCGTGCGAAGCCGGGGCGGGTCACTAGTCTACTATATAAAATAAGTCGGGTTTTCCTTCCTGACGCTATAACTCCAGAACGCACGAATCGATTTCCACGGTTTTGCATTCGTTGGAAAGGTCTCGGGCTCCGTGAGGTTTATAGCAAAGATAATTCGCTTTTAATCACCAAACGAAATGTTATATAAAACGAAGCCATCTGGTGGCGAAACGGAGTTCGCCGAGTTTGCTAATATAATATATTTATCTTATACTATTATATAAAGCGGAAGAATTTGTTTTTTTGTTTGTTTGAACGCACTAATCTCCGTAACTACAAGTCTGATTTGAATAATTCTTTTTGTGTTGGATAGCGCATTTATTGAGGATGGCTATAAGCTAGACCATCACGCTACGACCAATAGGAGCTGAGCAGAGCGTTTGAAACCGTGCGGAATTAGCTAGTAATAGTATATATTTAGTAATAGTTAGTATTAATTTTTATTTAAGTTTGTATTATTTGTAAATAAAAGATTAGTTGACAAAAAAAAACATATTTTTAACTTTCTATCTCTCTCTATCTTCTGATATTTATTTATTTGCGGGATCCAAGACAGTTATTCATATCCCTGGGGCCTGGGACGCATGAAACTTAATTTTTTCTGTGTTTTCATGGTTGTATCAAGTAGATACATGGATTTCAGTGTTTCGTTGTTAGCATGGTTCTATATTCAATAGTAATATGAATATAATATATTACCTTGAGCAACATAAACTTGCGTAGCGGGTCGTACCACTGCATGAGGAAGAGTCCGGCGGGAGTGGCCCCGCACAGGTACTTGTACCCGTTGTACGGGTTGCGGGCCACTGCACAGCGCATGCAACCTGCAATACACGATATTTGACGGCTCATTAATGAAACATTTATAATTTTTAACCGACTTCAAAAAAGCAAGGAGGTTCTCAGTCTGTATGTATTTTTATATATATATTTGTTGGGCCGACGTTTGACCAGTATCTCGCCTGAAGGTAAGCGATGATGCGGTCTACAATAGAGCACGTCGTCCCATAAGCAACCTATTCACTCGGGCCTTGAAGACACCCAGGCTATACTCTTCAGGCAATACAGACTTTGGCAAAGAATTCCACTCCTTAGCAGTACTTATGTTTCTGCGCAATTATCTTGCAATTAGGATGATGATAGGGTGTAAAAGTTAAAAATCTAATTAGTCCGTCAGGTAGGTAATGAAAAAATATCAGACACGTATTTTTTTATTTAGTCTTATACTAAAACAATACTTAGATAAAACGAATCAAAGTTGAGCAGTGGGGGCTAAAACGTCATTTCTACGTATATTATAAAATGTACATAGAAGTGACGTCACGCGACATTTCAAATCAATATATCGTCGAAAGTATTCGTTTCTGTAAGAAAATAAAAAATACGTGTCTAATGATGTGAAATAATCTATCAGATGGACATTAAAATAAAAATTAGGCATCTACCCTATTGGCTTTAAATAAATAGGGTAGATGATGAAATAATCGACTTTTAATAGTTAGGGCTTTGAAGTCGGTTTTATTAAACATAGTTTTTAAAAGAACAGTGTTAGAAGAGTTTGAGAGTATGTAAACTGTATACGAGTGCAAGAATACAGAAGTGTATCAAGTATCCGTACCCCGGGTGTCGGGCACCCGCGTGGTGAGCGCGAACCGTCGCGGCAGTAGTCGCGGCGGCAGCACGCGCAGACTGCGGCCGCGCGCGCCCGACAGCAGCGCCAGCAACTCGTGCCGGTACAGGCACGGGGTCTTGCCTGCACCGGGGAATACTCATTATGTGGGGGAATTTTATTATAGTATAAACCACTACAAATATAACACAAATTATTTCTGGTGATATAGGTGATATTCGTATGATCTAGTTGTAGAACCCTGGATTTAACGTTTAATAAACACATTAATTACTTCAAACACAAAGTTAACTGGGAGAAAATGGCATATGGCATTAAGTCCGCCTTCTGTACCTCAATATTGTGTGCATTAAAAACTTAATAAATAAAACCAATAAAAAGTAAGTAACAATGAAAAAGTTTGTTTCGCTTTAACCACTAAACTAGTTTTGATAAGGTTTGGCTCAATGACAGATTTAATACAAAGACAAATTGTTTTTACTAGAACAAATTAAACCAACCGTATTATGTTGAATTTACTGTCAAAATCTATACTAAACTTGACAAATATGTACAATACCTACATACATATTATAATCCGTTAGCTGACCGATAGTCAAATTCAATACTTTTATTGAAATGTCAAAAACGATACTTTTCTATTTGTATTGGATCGCAACTTATGACGTCATCATATTTCTGCGTCAAATAGCATACTTATTTCCTTAAAATTAGCGAGTAAAGTCCAAAAATAGGTAAATCGTCAAATCAATGGATGAGAGTATGATTATTTTTTAATTATTTATTGCATTGAAAAGTTAAAACAATTTATTTTAAACTGTCAAACACCAAGCGGTCACCGGTGACCGCAACCTATTGTTCTATAATTGTGTCTACAAAACCGGTACTCGACGAGTTAAACTGAGGAAACTACCCAATTGAAATTGTTTGTTTAATGAGCGTCTCATACCATCAAACGTTAAATATTATATATTGTTTGTTTAATGAGCGTCTCATACCATCAAACGTTATGCACACATAGTCTGCAGAATTTATTTTATCTATTTAATCTCATATTTAAATCTATTTTCTTTTCCTTATTGAGGGGCGGTACCGCCGTCCGTGAGTCACTGCAGGGTGCCACCTGAAAATCAGCGTTGGGCAGGAATGCTCAACTATATGCTGAGGTGGAGGCCCTTTTGGCATGTGCACACGCAGTATTATAGTATTTATATTATTTATATTATGGTGTTTTTTTTTTTTGTGTATTTAATTTGTTTGTATGTACATTATTTTCTTATATTTTGATGATTTTTATTATTTTCTTTATGCTTTTATGTTTCCTTTTGATATTATGTATTTGTGTAAGTATGTACTTGTATTTTTTTTTTTTCATAATCTTTGTTTGTGTGCCATGTGCCAAATAAATGCTTTTTCTTTCTTTTTCTTTCTTTCTTTCTTAAAGTTCGGCGAGTTTAGATTTAAGACCACAGCTATGTAAAACTACTCTAAATAAATATGTTTAAAAAAATGTGTATATGCACCTGAGAGCGACATGAGGACATCTTTGATGACATGCATCCATATAGTCCGCCGCGGACAGAGCTGGTCCATGGCCGTCTCGTGCAGCTCGTTCAGGTTCAACGTGTAGATACCTTCTTCCGCACCTAAACAATACCAAATGAGTGTTCTGTTCTCAAGGGGTAGGCAGAGGCAGTGGCTTTACTAAAGAGTGGCGAGTTGGCAAAGTGCCACTGGCCCTGAGCCGGGAGAGGATCCTCAGGGATTATCATCTGAATTATTCATGGGAATCCAGTAAATTTAGGACTAAACTGTACAGTTATGCTACTGCATGGGCACAGATACATTCAGATTTTAAGAAACCATTATTTTTTAAAAATATTTTAAAAATACGTTTCCCCGTACTATGATTATTTTTATACTTGATAGGTCGACGTTTGACCATCATCTCGCCTGAATTTTCTTCTGTGTGGTGCGCTTACGAACATACAAATTCACACACAAATCACACCCAGACGCGGTACAATTTCTAAATCACACAAACGAAGAGTTCTTCCTTGCGGGAATCGAACCACTACGCCAACAGCGCGATAATAATTTTATTATAGTTGAAACTACACTACATTTTAAAAGATTTCATGCATTTGATAGACTGCCATATCCCAAACTAATGGAAGTTATGTAGTACACTGTAGTATTAATTAAGTGTGGGAGAGTTTTGCTGCGCCACGAATGGGTCCGTCGATCGTAGTTATACCACGGCCTCTCAGAAGACCGACGTGACACAACGCAAGCGTTGTTACGTCGCTTGAGTGAGGTAACCGGAGGCCTAATTGTCCCTCCCCCCACTCCCCAATCTCCCCAATCCCTGAATCCCCAACAATCTTCAAATTTCAATCCCCAAAAGGCCGGTAACGCACTTGTAATGCCTCTGGTCACTCTGGTGTTCCAGGTGTCCAATGGCGACGACGATTGCTTACATCAGTCTGGTGGTTTACCATAAAATATCATAAAAAACCTTACCAATAAGTATGTGTTGATCTCTCGTGTCGGGATGTATCCAGGAAGCTGTGCAGTTGATCCTCAGCGGACATCCGTTGAACACCTGGAACGCATACATTCATAATAATTATAGTTTACATTTATAAATAAATATGATTTAATATACAAATAAATAATGCTAGACCCTACCTCTAAGACACAGGTTCTTTTATAAAAGGGCCTATGTTCAGTAGTGGACTTCTTCTACTCGATATACCAATGAATCAATTTAATAAAAATATAGAAAGATTTAAGGTAGTGTTCAATATCACAGTATACATGTGTGCTCGATAGATGGTGTTGTACAAGAATTTTAAATTTCCTGAATCGCGGTGTTAAGAATCGCCGTGAAATAATGACCCTCTTTACTAACATTAATATTGCTAATTGCTATGGTTAGTCGGTTCCAAAATTGAATATTATTTTAGTAAAAATGAAAAAAACAGTTAATCACGGATAGGTAGAAAACCTTTATTTATTTATTGAAAGGAAACGTAAACTTAATACAACAATCACTTAATTCTTAATTTCTTAAGCAACAAGAGAAATGTCATAAATTTTTTGATAAGTACTAAATTATTAACAGAATAATTGTCACTGAAGGCTTTTTATAATAAAAAAAAACGCTAACTTAATACAATAATCACTTAGCTCTTATGAAGCAACATAGATGATGAATAACTAATCACTAATAGAATAATTGTAACCGAGATCAGTATCCTCAACAGATCAGAGTTGAAGAAAACCCTTCAAAAATAGGAATTCCTCAGGGCGCAGTTCGCGGACCAACGCGAAGTTTAGGTCAATTTTCAACAACAACACATTTAAATTTTACAAATTGTAACTGAAAGCAGTAAACTCGTCAGAAATGAGACAAGAGCTGAAGAAAATCCTTCAAGGATAGGAGTTCCTCAGGGCGTAATTCGCGGACCAACGCTAATTTTAATACAGTCTTCAACAACAACAATGTTCAACATCTTCTGCCTTGACTCGTGCTTTGGATTCATTAGCAACAAGTTTATAATTCCGCCTCGCCGTGCGATATGCTTCTAACAATACAGCTTCTTCATCAGGATCCTTATTCAGCTTTCGTCGACGGTAGCGTTGTAGCTTACGACGACTCGTAAAACTGGCTCCACCAGCAAGGATAATCCTTTACATACTCCCTAACTCTTCGAGGCTTCTGTCTTTTGTACGTGCCTCCAGATGCCGTCACCCAGGACTCCATGATTGCAAACATCTCGAGGTATTCCTCGGTGAAAGTTTCATTCTTCCACACCCAGCGTCCTTTGCCTATTTTCTGGGGGTGAAGAAGCTACAAGTCAATCGAACTGGATTTACATAATTATAGTTCGACATTATCTCCAAAGGGCTTAGTGTGAGTTTGTTTAACGTTAAGGCCCTTTTATGACGTTTGCTGCTCTGATTGGCAAGTTCCAATTAACCAACCAATGAGAGAACTAAACGCGGTAACCTTTTGATTGCATTAACAAAAAAGAAACTCGCTCTAAGTTCTCAGATGTCGGTCGACATCAGCGAGAAGTAAAGTGAAGTTGTGATAACGACTGCGACAAAGATGTAAGCATCATCATCATCGACAGCCTATAAATGCCCACTTCTGAACAAAGCCTCTTCTCACACGGAGAAGGTTTGAGCATTAATCACCACACTTGCTCAATGCAGGTTGGCGATTACAAACTTATAATTAGAAATGATAACCCCAGGTTTCCTCACGATGTTTTCCTTCACCGTTTGTCAGTGGTGTCTAAATAATCTTAGAAAGCACATATAACTCGGAAAAAGTCACATTGGTACTTGCCGTTGGTAGGTTTAAAACTCTCATGCATGAAAAGCGGGCGTCTTAAACCTTCGGGCCACCACTACATGTAAGCATACATGAAATCTATAAAAGCCTGTTAACACTCGATCACTGAGGCACTGAAATACGGTAGACTTGACTATGAAATTTTCGACTGTACGACAAGAGAATGATATCAACTATAGGTCAAGAACGGCACATGTGAATACCTTACTAATAAAAAAGTATTTGTTTAAGCTTCCACACTTGTAAATGCTGAACAAAATTATATTATGAACACCTAGAAATCCTTTCTCTTTCTTGAACATAATAATGTACATTTTACACGTAAAAGTTGTTCGTATTATTACTTACCTTAGAGAAGCAAGCTCCCATATGTACTTTGGGCGTAGGCGGCAGACCGTTGGGGGCCGCACGAGGTGGTGTATGTGTCCGTCGTGACCTAGCCCGTCTTGGGGGCACTGGAGGAGTTCCACTCTCACCTGCCACTGGGGGGAATTATGATAACTTAATAACAATTAAAACAAAACAAAAACTATTGATATTATAAAGAATAATGTGTTTTTTGGTGGTTAGTAACGAATAGACTCTAAGACTTAAGACTAAGATATTTTTGTTATTTGAAAGATATTAATTATGATTTTAAAATTCCTATAACAATATTGTAGAATGGTGACCTACCTACATGATAAAAATCTTAAGTTGATAAAAATTGTAATAAAGTTTCAGTACGCATATCTATCACCATTCAGACACGTTTAATACCGATTACCTCTAATCTAACATCTTAATATTAATTCTAGTTAACTCACCCTTATTATCAACCTTGGCTTTATCCCGCTGACTATCAGACAAACTCCTTTGTCTTTGCGTAGTCTTACTCTCTTCATCAATGGCTTCCGTCTTCACGTCCCGTCCATTTTCATCCACCATTTTGAAAATCTCATCGACAGATGACGTTTTTCTTTTAACCTCTAGTTCGCATTGACAGAATTGATTTAAATCTATGCCAGCTGTGACAGAATCTGAATGATGTCTATTATGCTTTTTTCTATGTTCAAATACTTTGTCTTCCATATTTAGACTCATGTCGATTTTCCTACATAAATCATCGTCTGTAGAACCATTCTGTAATTTATCATCCTCTGATATTCTTAACCTATTCGCGATTTGTAAAGCTCTGAAGTTGGACACGGATATTTTTTGTTTTTTACAATTTTCGCAGTAAACTATGCCGGAGTCTGTGTTTTGGTTGGAGCAGTTTCTGTAGTAGCTTAGTATGTCGCCGTTGGAGTTGCATACGTCGCAGGAACATTTTGCCACGGATCTTTGAAGGTCGCTGAGTGTGTTGTTGTCCCTAGGTTCAGGTTTAGGGCATAGTCCACATTCACAGTTAGCGTTCCTTTGCAAGTCCAAATGGTCGTTTTCCTGTTGATCCACGTACATTATATCCTCTCCTATCTTCCTGCAGAGAGGATCGTCGATGGATACCCTAGAAGCACCTATAGGAGTCTGGTAAGAAGACGTGAGATTTTGATAAATATTCGCGGTAGAATTGTTCAAAAAGTTTTGTTTTAACTGTATGCATTGAGACAAGTGTTGGTCGTGCATCGATAGCGCGGTGTTGCTACCCTGCGCCATGTTCGCGGTTTCCGCTGTTAACGGTAGTGTTGCCCTGGAAATAAGATTGGGGAAATTACCATTTTGGTAGAATTTATTTTGGGAGTTTTAGTAGCTTTTTGGGGGTGGTCGCAGTGCGGTTAGGTTTTGTTCTGAAGCTATTTCAAGTGCGGTTAGACACAAATGTGGGAGGGGACTTAGTAGTGTCACGTCGACAAGCTATTTAATTTAATTTGTGTTAGAATAACAAGTGGTGCTGGTGGGATATAAACCGTACGTTTTAATAAAAAATGTTGTGAGGACCAAAAAATAGTTTATGAGGTATTTACGTTATTGTTTTTCTGTTTATTTCGTATTATATTTAAGCTGCGAAAGCTTTTAATTCATGGAACATGCTTCATGCTACGACTACACCAAATAACTATGCGAGACGCATTTTACAATATTTATTATTTTAGTTATTTATTTTATTTTCAATACAGACTTTTTATGTTACCTACATATTAGGAAAGAGGACGTTTTGTTTGATTTTCTAACGCTGCTTTTTGTAGGATGTTATACCATTTGTAACTTAAGTCATGTCCATATTTTTCTGCAAAATTACTGACTGATTGATGGCATATGGCACCGACAGAATTCACCATTAAAGTAGTTGCACTTTATGAATATACTGTTTCTTTAACATTTGACAAACAATAAGCTTAAAATATAACCATAAAAAGTCTGTAAAACTTCTTCATTGAATCATTGAGTCTTTTCATGTAAATATTTCGTGACTAATTTACACATAGATCCAAACTAAACTATGTCTACAGGCCAGGCTGTTCGGAATACTTTCTCTATTTCAATGTTAATTTTATTTATACTTTATTTATTATTTGCATTTGTATAACATATGATAGTATATAGTCCGATTACGTTATGGCAGTTGTCCCAGGGAGAGATCATTAATGTTAGCACACAGTTTTGAAGTGAAACCAATGCCCTGTTTTACCATTAATCCATTGTAGGGGGTCATCCATAAATTACATCACAATTTAAGGAGGAGGGAGGGATCCAAAAGTTTGTCATGTCAGATTTCAAAAACTATTATAATCTGTGTTAAAATATGAAATATAATTGTATTAATGTTTTTATTTTAATATTTGTTATTTTATTAATATTTGTTTAAAGTAATTGAAGTGGAAATAGTGGGGATAGTTTCGATAGCACTAGGGGGATAGTTTCTATCTAAGTCACACTAGGTGGGAGGGGGGAAGTCTCACAAATGTGAAAATTATGAAATTCGTGTGACGTAATTGTATGGATGGCCCCTAGGTACTACAAGGGACCCGTAACAAAACTGGCGATTAACTAAAAACTACGGGTTTCTCACGTGAATATACTACGAAAAGCTCTACTAGTATCTACTTTTCTCGGCATATTCACGTGCGTAACCCGCGATTTCAGTTAATTTAGTAAGACTCACGATAGTTATTATAAAAACATAACTGGCGAATTTTATATTTTAACCTTCGTGAGACATACTCAATTAATTATCATGTTTTTCGGTTTATTTCGGCCAGTAGCACAGTCGCCGCGTCAAGAGTCGCGGAATCCTGCACATGAATATGAGCCTCTATCATAACTTGATACTGATTATTACGTGAGAAATCCGAAAAATATAATAATTAAAACTGGCGATGGCGTTATTTAAAGCACAGTTTACTATCATGTCATTTGAGTGAATAACATCAAATAATAATAATAATAATATCTGCCAATGGCCTCATTGCTAAAAGCCTCGACCAACATCTGAGTAGGCTAGCGTTAGATGGTTGGGTCAAGGGCCTGATGCAGAAAGCAGTACTTCTGGACATGGCTCGTATTGTTCGGAAATTCCTTTCTCTGGAGCCCTGACCACCGGTAGCTTGCTAGCTCTCCCGTTACCGGTGGGCTACTGCATTTTATATTTTTAAATGTTTTTTTTTTACATATAATGAAATATTTAAAAATATTTAAATCAAGTATGAAAATAAATAAAGGGAATAATAATATATTACACAATGCGAATAATAAATAAAGTAAATATAAACATTGCGTGTTTAAATCAACAATTGTCATATTTTGTCAAATATAAAATTCCGAACAGCAACCAAAGCTACTAACGACACAAAAACACACATAATTACATATATTTTTGTATGTATTTACATGCAAACTGAAAACCTGACCGTTTACCTGAGCATTAACTCTTCATCGATATATTGCAAGAGGCTCCTAAAACAAGAGAGACAACTTACAGATGATACTCACTTCAATACTAGTGACGTCATTTCTAGTTGTGACGTCATGACGAGTTTGTCTTACAGGCTGACGAGATAATGCATAGTCATGTCATGCCATGTCATGTCATGATTAGGGTTGTTATTATTATAAGTATTTACGATATTTTAAATATTGACCAGAGGCATTTGAGTTAGGGTTGTCTTGTCTGTTATAAAAATTAACCGTAAAAAAGATCCGAAAAGCTTTAAACTACTTGATAAAATTTAGTTATTCGTTGAATTCAATTATAGAACAATAGGTTGCGGTAACCGGTGACTGCTCGGTGTTTGACAGTTTAAACCTTTTCAGTGAGATCAACTTTTGTGATATAAAATGGTAACCTTAGTCATGACATGGCATGGCATATAATGGCATCATTTTACGACAAGTTTTAGCATCATAATGCACTTTTCAAAAATGTACAAACGTTTGTCTCGTTCTTACAGTTTCATTTCTGATATCATTTTTACAATTCAATTGAAATAGTTTTTTTTTTATATATATTCTCCTTGTATCCAATATTGCGATCGTTTACTGTTGGCTGGGCTGTTGTAAATAAGGACGTAATATATCAGTCCAGAAGGTCTAAAGTTGCAAAGCAATATTTTGGATAAACAGTAGTGTTTTTTTTTCTTTTATAGAACTTCAGATCCAATGATATAAACAAGTTATACAATAACATGTTAATGCTAGACAATTAAAATTATTAAATATTATGACAATCTATTAACTCATTAAATATTAACTATGGCATCTTTAGACCTTAAAATTATATATTGCATAACACACTGAAGGCCACAACAGAGCTCCGGAAACAGCGAAAATTTCTTACCTCAGTATAATATCATAGACAATAATAGCTCCCCATAGATAAACCAAAAGCCAAACAGAAAAACCATCGCCAAACATGCTCATAGACAAAGGTGTAACTATTCTATCATTTTGTGCACTCACACAACACTCAAAAAAACAATATAATTTTTTTCAAACAAAAATCAACTCAAATTACTCGAAACTTAAAAAAAAAACAGAGGAAACCCTTCACCACTAAAAATCAAAAATTAATTAGCACACGGAAAATCCCTAACAGTTAGGTAAGAGATAGAAAAAAAGTTTCGTCAAAAATTTTATTTTATTATTTTTTTTATTTGCCAAATCAATTGAAAGTACCTTAAACTCATTCTCATAATATCATCCCCTGTGATCGCCCGACACCACTTGCTATAAAATAATATATAAACGTTAGTGCGCTACCGATATTTTGTTTTAGGCCGAAACCGGGGATTGAGTATTCGGCCTTAGTTTAGTTTCAGCCGAAATCGAAACTTATGAAAATCAAAGCATTTTGTTACACATATAAATTTGTAAGTAAACACGATTGAAAGTTGTTTTTATTTACATTTATAGTATTTTCGGTCGAAACCAGGCTCGTCAGATAAATGGTATGAATACTAGCCGAATAGAGTACAAGAGATAATATACGGCATTGATAACAGCTTAGAAATAGACGAATTTGTCGCATCTCAATATCAATACTCGACATTTGACTATATTGTCTATTCGACTAGCATTTAAAATATTCATCTAGTATGGCAAAGCCGAACATTCACCCTCGGTTTCGGCTAAAAACTAATATTCGATAGAACACTAATATAAAATAAAATAAAAAATAATATATAAAACCAAAAAATATAAGCGAGGAAAGTAACAAAAAAAGTGTGCTAAATGTAATAAAAACTGTAGTTGCACTTACTTTTCGCTAGATGGCATCGTGTCGGTGGCTAGATCTTGTGTTAATGGGTTGTGTTTCGGACAAGTCATCAGTGAAGCTACGCTCCAATCTTCACTAGATTGTCTGTGGTACGCTGCGAATAGATAAAAATAGTAAATTAATAGCCATATATTATTTTAACCAACTTTAAAATCGGAGGCGATTCTTTTCGTTTTTCATCTCGTAAGTCTCTTAGCTACATATTAATTTTGAGTCTTATGATTTAATAGTTAAAATATAAAATGTTTATATTTATAACAACACTCTTTTATAGACAAAAATCAAAATAATGTCGTATTTGTAGTATATATACTAGAGATCATTTTTGTTATAGCTATCGTGAGACATATGAAATTAAGCACCTGGCTCGCCAAGGTTGTGCTCATGACTACCTATGTGTCCTTGGCGTAGCTTGAAACTAGTCCAGCATTAAATATTCTTCAAATCAATTTTGATTTTATTGCATACTTCATGTATGGTATAATAAGTTTGACGATAAAACAAATCATTTTCATAGCCTGATACTAAAGGGTTATTTAAGTCATGTTTGAGTCCAAAATGGTATAAAGATATTAAAGAAAATAAAGAAAATCCACTCACCATTCCTCTTAACAGTATCTCCATCACAACTCCTGTTGACCTCTGCACTGAAGTTAATGACCTTCGGCATGGAATTGACGCTCAAATCATCATCAGCATCCAGATCCACTATTGGAGAATCATCGTAGAGTCCTGATCGTCGGTGGGCGGGGTCGTGGTCGTGCAGGGAGGGCAGGTCGTGCAGGGAGGACAGGTCGTGCAGGGCGGGCACGTCGCGCGCGTCCGTGAGCAGCGAGCGCGGGCGCGCGTGCTTGGCGGGCTCCCCGCCCAGCACGCGCCGCGCGCCGCGCCCCGTGTGCCGGGACGCGATGCGGGCGGGCATGTTCGACATCGCCTGACGAAACACAACGTATGTACTACTTTATCTATTGTTTTGTATCTTGTCTCTTGGAAATTCGCATAAATAAATATTATCATTATTTCTTTCAAGTTTGTTTTCAACTGTCTTGTTGGTGATGGCATAGTACAATTGTCAATTCAGAATTCAAATACACTACTTTACGCTAACAAATCTTCCCAAGTACCTGATACATGACACATGTACTCTTTTTAAAAAAATTGACAATACATAATTAACTCTACTAAGGGCCTGTTTCATAACACAATATCTGAATAGCCGCTATGTACCAAATAAAAAATAGAATATAGAACGAAATTCATATGAACTATCTGCCACATGGGTAAGTTTATCGGATTACTTATATGGCCTTTTTTAAAGGGAGAAAAATCATCCAATGAGATCCCTCCTAGGTGTGGCGGGAGGGAGTATCAAAATCTTATTGACTAAAAACTACCCCGTTCCTACTCGTAACCCGTTAAGTCCTCCGCGGCTCCGTACCGATCAGCATTATTGGACCCCATCCGTGGTGGCCTGATGGCTATTTGAGGCGCGCGCGGAATGCCACGCGCCGTACGCTCGCGACTTAAATAGCCTTATGCCTTAACTCTAATGACGATCTATAATCTTAAAATCTGGGTATACGTACAGTATCCTCGTCCGGCTCGTTGTTGCAGTGGCTGGGCGGGTTGGAGTACTTGTGTAGGAGATCTATTGCAAGTCGCTTGCTCATGTCTTGCTGGAAGAATGCGTGCTGAAAAAAGAAATATTGTAATCAATTTATGTTTATGTATGGGACTGACTATATCAGACGAGCTTTTAGATTTGCTTTGATATGCTAAGCATAATGTATCAAGCTATTTTCGGCACGAAAATTATTGAACGATTACAGAATCATTAGTTTGACGTCTGTCAAAATTGACATCTGTCATTATGACAGATGACATTTAATACTATCTGTCATTATTTTAACTAGTTTTTTTAGTTACCTGTAATAATTTATCAGCTGTGGGTCGTTTCTTGGGATTCTTGGTGAGTGCTAGTTTGAGGAAGGAGTGGAAGACGGCTGACCAGCGCTCTCTTTCCTTAAGGGAGGGGGGTTTGAATCCCGACTTGGACATAAGGAAGAGTACTCGCATGGGGTGTAGCTCGAACATCGGTGGTTGAAGCTCTGCTAACTCTGTAAATAATAGCAGTGTTGTTAATTTAATACAAATAGTTTTTTTTATAAAGATCTAAATAATACGTATAGATGTACAATATTCGGTGAAAAAAAATATTTGACTTAAAATAACTGTGTGATTATGACTGTCTCTACTCTAGAAAATATTATAATATGTACTATAATGTGTCAAAATATCGAGATATCTTGAACTTACCAATGGCAGTGATCCCACAAGCCCAAATATCACAGAGCTGGTTGTAACCACCCTTGCGTTCCACTGCTGCCACCTAGAAACGAAAATAATAATTATTATTACACAAGTAATTTATTAGTAAGAAACCTGTTTGTTGGTTTTTTAGTGAAACCTTGTTTTATTTACCTCCTTTATTTATTTTTACACTTGATTTATATATTTTTAAATATTTGATTATAAAAAACATTTAAAAAGATAAAAAGCCCATCAGCAACGGGAGAAATCCAAGCTATCAGTAGTCAGGGCTCCACAGAGAGAAGAATTCAGAAGTACTGCTTATTTACCTTATTTTTATGTTAATTATTTTACTGGCTCGATAAAGAAAAATGAAAACCCCAACTATCATCGTCACATTTCTTTAATGTTGCTTGACAAAAGAATTTTCTCTAATATCTTTTATTCTTTTCATTGTCAACTTCAAATACAACAAATAAAATGTAGACCCGTAAATATAACAAACACTTCGTGGACAATTTTAAGTATGTGCATAATCGGGTACTTGCCAACTAGTCAAACTCACTACTTTTTTCGAACTGTCAAAAACGACAGTTTTCTATGAATTTTGTACATGATTGTGTATTGTGGTTGTCACGTTTTTTTAGCATCAAACAGCCTATTTCTGCTGGAAAAATACTATAATTAAGTTGGTCATAAAATCAATTAATGAAAGTGTGATTATTTTTTAATATGTTACATATTGTATTGAATAGTCGAACTAATTTATTTTTGATGAAGGAAAGTAACCAATTATGTGAAATAAGTGTTAGTTACTGGAGGAAAGTGTATGTACCTCAGGGGCCATCCAGTACGGAGTACCAATGAAAGACTTCCTCTTGTTGATGGTGGCTGTGATCTGCGCCGACACGCCGAAGTCCGCCAACTTCACATCCCCGCACTCCGTCAAAAGGATATTCGCACCTTTTATGTCGCTGTAATAAGAACAATGCATTGCTAAAGTATGTTACACAACAAACAATGCAAATTATTATTATCTTATTACTAGGTCAAATTCAAAGCATTTATTTCAATTAATCCTTAATTTGACCCTTTTGAAACGTCTAAAATTAAATTGGGTAGTTTCCTGGGTCAAAAATACATTATTTAGATTTTTCAGTCCAATTAAATATCGAGACTTTCATTCATTGATTTGCCGATATACTTAATTTTCAATTTATTCTAGCATTTGTTTTACATATAAGTGTGCTATTTGACGCGAAAATATGATGACGTCATAAGATGGTATTCCGTACGAAATTCATGCTTCCGTATTTATAGTATTACTAGTTGTTGCCTTCGTACGCGTAGAACATAATTTTATTGTTTCAAATTTCCAAAGAAAAGTAGCATATGTTACTCCTTAGTACAACGGCTAACTGCTAATTAAAGTCCCGTCAAAATCGGTCCAGCTATTCCAGAGATTCGCCAGTACAAACAAACAGACAGACAGATAGACAAAAATTATAAATGTTATTTTGGTATGTGTATCGTACTAGCGACCCGCCCCGGCTTCGCACGGGTGCAATATGCATGTATTAGGTATACATACAAACCTTCCTTAAGAATCACTCTATCTATTAAAAAAAACCGCATCAAAATCCGTTGCGTAGTTTTAAAGATCTAAGCATACATACGGACATACAGCGAAAGCGACTTTGTTTTATACCATTTATTGATGTATACTCATATTATGCATGTAGTAAAACGCGGTTATTTTAATATTACAATCAGACACAACGATTTTGTTTATCTATATAGATAGTAGAAATCGTAGAATATATATGTAACAACAGACATTGTACATGCAATGTTATAATAACGAAACTAGTTTCGAACCACTGAGGGGTTCTTCCACATGAGCAGCGTGCACGGTCGCGGCGATGTCGCGCAGCCTACTGGCTAGCGTTGGCGCTTGCATCTAACCAGTAGAGCTTTTCCCAGTATATTCACGTGAGTGATCCGCGATTTTTAGTTAATTTAGTATGTCTCACGATAGTTATTATAAAAACAACGAAAATATTGAAAACTAGCTTTTACCCGCGGCTTCGCTCGCGTCACAAATGGATAAAAGTAGCCTATGTGAAATATACACACAGCGCCATCTATACCAATGATTTCGTTTTTCCTCGAGAATATCAAATTTTTCCGGGATAAAAAGTACCCTATTATTTAATCCAGACTTCTTTAATCCAGACTTCTAACTTTACGTCTGCAAAAATTCAAAGCAATCGGTTTAGTAGTTAAGGCGTGAAAGCGGAACAAACAAACTCACTTTCCGATTTATAATATTAGTAAGGATAACCCTAGATGGTCTAAAATATCATGGTTTATGTACCAGAGGTATAAATCGGCCGGTGACCTGGACTAATGGGTCATCTCAACATACGCCTGCACGAATTACGATTAAGATAATAAATATAGATTGCAACACATTACAACTATTGTTAATACAATAATTACATAATAGAGTATAGTACTACGTGTTTATTACGACTGTGACTAACACAATACAATAGCCAATAACATGGTACCTACATAACAAAATTAAAACAAAACTACCATTAGTTACTATACATTCTGTACAAATCCCATAGGATTGAAAATAATTGATTTGACTGGTCGGTTGGTGCGATGGCTGGGCAACCGACTGCCGCGCAACATGTAGCGGGTTGGATTCCCGCACGGAACAACTCTTTGTGTGCTGTTTCGGATCTGGGTGTCATGTGTATGTGAACTTGTATGTTTGTAAACATACCCACGACATATGAGAAAAACTTAGTGTGGGGCAACGTTTAAAAAAAATATGCAATAGAATGTTTTCAAATGTTATATTCAGTTACTTCAATTCTATAACAACGTTGAACTTTTAAACTAGGGTCTACACTTCGACCCGCCTGCCCACCGTGGAGATCATCAAACCCCTATTAAGCCGGCTCTACACTCGCGTGTGACGTTACACCGTGAATAACGCAGGTGATCCGCGCGCGCACTCCCTCGCCTTATCCCTCCACACTCACAAAGCTTCACAGTCTTGATCGCGGCCGTCATAGACGACGACATGACGTCTGGTGCTGCTATGTACTTGCCTTTGTGGTAAACATAATATAATAACACAAGGTAAGGTACACAATTTTTTTTTATATAGAATAGGAGGCAAACGAGCAGTCGGATCACCTGATGGTAAGCGATCAGCGCCGCCCATGGACACTCGCAACACCAGAGGAGTCACAGGTGGGTTGCCGGGTATTAATATTACATAACATTAGAAGCATAATTAATTATACTATGTATAAAAGTATCGGCTCGGCTCGAAAACACTCAATGAGAGTCAGTTCTAGATTATTGTCGATGTATCATTCATATTTAAATAACAATAATAATAATAAAAGGAGTGCTGCGAGTGTGAATGAGTTCACATTAGCGCGCCGCAAACCCTTTGTGGCGACGCAAAAAATTGACACTGACTGAGGAATGGCGCGAAGCGCGAACAATATCATTCGTCATTCGCAGTTGGGTAATTTCCTAGGTCACAAATAAATTATTGTGACTTCTCAATGAAATAAACCAACGTTCATTCATTGATTTGACAATATATTTAATTTATAAATTTTTCTAGTTCATTTTTAAGAAAGCGTACTATATAACGCAAAAATATGCTGACGTCTTATATACATTTTTCATACAAAATTGAAAGAAAAGTATCGTTTTTGACATTTCGATAAAAGTATTGAATTTGACTTGTTGTCAACTACCGTATTGTCGTGGGCTGTCGCGGATGTTCGCGCCGCGAGTGTAGAGCCGGCTTAAGCAGCCAAGGAGGTTCATTAAACTGTCAAACACCAAGCGGTCACCGGTGACCGCAACCTATTATTCTATAATTGTGTCTATAATGACGGTACTCGACGAGTTAATAGTCGAACAGTGGACACAGGTTGTTGATATGATATAATGTACCAACACAGCAGTACTTAAAGAGTGATACCCTTAACTCATATGACAGACATGAAACATCAATACAGAAACGTTGACTCTATCACTGAATAAATATAGTATGTTAACTCACCGATGCATTTTCCCCATGCTGTGTAGGTAGGAGAGGCCGGTGAGCGTCTCGCGGCACATGTACGCGATCTGCAGCTCCGTCAGAGGACCCGTCACGTGGTATATGTCCTGGAATGGAGATACAAAAAGGTTAGATATAGAATCGCATATAGTTTAGCTATTAACTAAATATCGCGAGTTATTCACGTGAATAAACTGAGTCTCACGTTAGTAATTATAAAACCATAGTTTAGCTATGTTTAAAAAAACTTAAGTGGGGGGAAAGTTATTCTTGGACTGAAATGGTTTTTTTTAAAATACGTTGCGCCGCACTAGGATTTTCTCCTGTATCGTGGGTGAGTTTACAAACATACAAGTTCACATACACATGACCCCCCAGACCCGAAACAACGATTTGTGGATCACACAAAAAGTTGCTCCGTGCCGGAATTGAACCCGCTACACATTGCGCGTCAGTCGGTTGCCCAGCCACCGCACCAACCACCACGGCCTCACAGAGAACCGGGGTGAAACAATGCTTGTGTTGCTCACAAAAAAGCGCTAATCACCCTGGTAATAAACGGACGAATTTCGAATTTATTCTAACAAGCTACAATAGCCGGCGATATAAATTGCAAGCACGTTGACATTTGATAAAAGATAATATTGTGTGATATAACTATTTTTTTTAAACCTTGCCCGAAATTAGGATTTTCTCCTGTGTCGTGGGTGCATTTACAAACATACAAGTTCACATACACATGACACCCAGACCCGGAACAACAATCTGTGGATCAAACAAAGTGTTGTTCCGTGCGGGAATCGAACCCGCGACACGTTGCACGGCAGCCGATTGCCTAGCCACCGCACCAACCGTTCAGTCAAAGACCAAAGCTTTTTCTTTTTTTATTTAATCTTATTGTGAATCGAAAAGAGTGCTCGACTAGTTTTAGCGATTTCTAATCAGGGAGTATACGCTGTGACCTGGCCGATTGTCTCTCTTCAAAGATCTACCGTAGAATTATAATCTTAATGAATTAACCAAAAATTTTGAGTTACTCACGTATATTTACTTTATTTATTTCTTTGGAAACTCAACGGCTCATTAAACTGTCAAACACCGCGAGGACACCGGTGACCGCAACCTATTGTTCTATAATTGTGTCTATATGACGGTACTCGACGAGTTATATAGTTACATGAGTTGAGTATACACATCACACTATCTGTACGAGCTAGGTACGCTGTACATTGACTTGTCGTCATACGTGCGAATAATTAAATCACCGTGATCAGCATTTCTGAACATTATAAACTTCTTAATTAATTTAATTCAGTAGCAATAAAACTATCTAAGAGATTGGTCTACTCATTTAACATAAACTAATAAATAACACTGTAGGAACTTACAACCCCTACACTATCAATGCACAGCCTTATGCAGTTTCATGTAAGAGACTAGCTTGAAAAGGTCGGTCGACACACACTGCACTGTGATAAAGACGATTTACGTATACTTATTTTTAAGTTAGTTCAGTACCTGTGTCACGGCAGTTATTATAATAAGTTATAGGTACCTGCAAACTTCCACCACCACAGTACTCCATCGAGATCCATAGCTTATCCCTTCTTAGATAGGAGCCGTAATACGCGACGATGTTCGGATGTCTACAGTCCTTCATCATCAGGATCTCCTGCTGGATGATGGCGAAGTCATCGCCTGGTTCCAGCTTGATCACCTTGATGGCAGCAAGCTCGGCATTGCCGTTGAGTCTTTTCGCCTGGAATTAACAGAGGAATTTTTGTTATTGATATGAAAATACAGTTATTCTAAAAGTTATAGGATAATATTAAATTATTATTGTGTACTATTTAAATCTACATGTTACGAGAGAGGCCAAGGTTTTAGAGTACATAATATATTATGCAAAATAAATACTTTTCAGAAAATTATAAATAGGTATTACTAAATATTTTATTTTATGAAATACGATTGTGTCTCGCATGCGCACGTAATCCTTAGTTTTAGGAACGAGATATTTCCAGACAGTAAAATACGTAAAGACTCTTCTGTACAACGAAAGAGAGACAACAAAACATATTTCTGCATTTATAATAGTGGCAATGATACAAACATTAATGATTAAAGCCTAATTCTTTAAGTGTGGAACCATGCTTCGGCATGGCTGTGGCAACCGGAGTGATACACGGCCTCACAGAAAACCGACAGGTTACCGGAGTCCCAATTACTCCCCCCCCCCTTCCCTAATTCCACAATTAAAACCAAAAGACGAATAATGCACTTGTAATGCCTCTGGTGTTCCAAATGTCCATGGGCGACATCAACTTTATATTCAATCACTTAAAAAACTAATAAATACCTAGTCTAATATCAAAACACAGCACGTAGTAAGCGTAGAAAGTTCTCCCCTTTTCACATAATAATAAAAGTTCAACGTTTTATTGATTTAAATGGGCAGACTGGTGAACGAACAGGCCGGCGGAAGCGACAACTTCGCTCACTTAGGGATGGCGAAGTTTTGCGACGTTAAAGAATAATTTGCAGGTCTTTCAAATTGAATTTTATCTTTGAACTTTATACACGTCTCATGGAGATTTAAGCTTAAAGCCTGCTTGTCCAGATACGTACAACGTGAAGGAAGGTAATGAAATATAATCTGTAAGGAAGGATTGTGATAAAATTAGTCTTATCCGGTTTCTATTTGCTACGAAACCACAAAAGCGACATATTTTCACGAGTCATATAGTATAGTAACATTAGATACAGTCTGATGTATATTTGACTTCTTCATTATCAATAGCCCATTGCTCATAAATCTACTGTAGAACTGTATTACTATGGACCTTCTCTAGACAGGGCTTGACAGGCAGGTTAAAATCTCAATTCAAAAGGTTCATACATTTATCACATACAAGTGACTCCGGCGAGATTTCACCCGCTCTGCTCGATTCCTATTGGTCACAGCGTGACGTTTTATAGTCTATAGCCTTCGTCGATAAACACACTATTCGACACAAAAAGAATGATTCAAATCGGATCAGTAGTTCTGAAGATGAACGCGTTCAAATAAACAAACAAATTCTTCAGCTTTATTTTTGCAAGTGCATAGAACCCCAATATTGTTCATTGCGTACAACCCTGTCCACGAAACGATTGACTCAAACGTCTGCTATTGTTCTCAGCAAGCTACTAATATGTACACACACAATAACATGTGTCTGTATGTCGCTAAAAAGATACTGTTTGTCAACATTAATGACAATTGACAGGGTTTTTGGATTTCCTGTTTTTACAACACCAGAAAAGCGAGATCCTGAATGATGGACTACACTACACAATGTATATGATACTAAGCCGAAGTTGGTTGAATGGGTGACTTATTATTCACAGCTCGAGACTTCTTCGTGCCTATGTGAGTGCGTAAATCGGCTGTGGTTCTTCCTAGATCATCTGCAGTGACTCAGGAGGGATAAAACGAGAACAATTATGGTACCACATGTATGTATGTCGTGGAGAATAGCTGTGAGAGAATGCTAGTCCGGTAGTTGTGTAAAATATTGACGTTCTTTAATATTTCCACTATTCAATGTTTACCAAAAATTATGAACTCATAATACAATAGGGTTGTTTACTTTTTATTTGAAAGTCTGTCTGGTACATTAATTTAAAACTTTAGACACGTATTTTTTCTTTTCTCACAAAATTAAATACTTTCGACGATATATTAATTTGAAATATTGTGTGACGTCACAGCGTGCCACATTTTGTAGCACGTTATGACAAACGACCTCCCACTCCTAAACTTAGCGCCATTTTATCTAAGTATTGCAACTTAATACGAGAAAAAAATACGTGTCTAATATTTTTTAATTATCTAACTGACGGACTAATTAGATTTTTAGTTTTGATACCCTGGAAACTACCCAATTGTGATGAATTGACGATTAACAAATAATAAAATAGGTATAAGTATAGAAAAGAGATCTGATTAGAAAAGTAATCAGTTTAAAATCTGGCGATAGAAAATTGTGATCAATTAAAAGTAGACTCATTAACCTTAATTGATTTCCATTTTTCTAATGATAACAATAACTTCTTTAGCATACTAATTGTAAACCAATAATATTACTAAGTCCAAAGAAATTACTTCTTCGTCCATAATATCATCTACAACTATAACTGCAAGTCATGACGATCCACTGTTGGACGGCCTCATACGACATACAAAGTAGGGGTATGCCACCTCTCCACATCTAGCAGGCGGATTAGCTATAGCATGTCTCTGGTTTCACCACACGGCTATCAAATCATAATTTAATCTCTTAAACCAGGAAAAAATCTTCAGCATTGTTGTTAACTCTTGGAGAATTATTGTGACAGCCATACAAAGAATTTAGCCAGTCGCTGAGTCAGGCGTCTGAAAGTCTAGACTTAATCTAATGAAGAATGCTGCATGCACTTCATTTTCATGTTAGACGGTCTGAAGTCGTATATCTTTCGATATTGCATATTTTGACGTAGGGAAAATGAGTTCCTTATCTTAATATCAAGTATTTAATTCATGAGTTCTAATAATCTGGAGATGCAAAACCCGTCTCGTCTACCGGTGAGGCCCAAAAAATACATTGTGAATCACTTAGATCTGAGTTCGGGTTCCAGTAGACGTTTGATTGACGGGTAAAAGTGTTACATTGTAAACTATTCGCAGAAATAAATATCATCATGTTGTTTCATTTCGACTCTTTTTAAAGAGTCTAGACAAGTACTCATACAGTTCCCCTAAGGGCTCGTACACAAAACTGCGATGCGATTCGATGTGAAATCGCAACGCAAAAAATTATGATGCGAATTGCTGCGATGCGATTTCATGCGACAGGGTGACCACGCACTAAACATATTTTAAATTGAAAACTAGATCGTGACATGGAAATAGATCGTAGAAAGAAGTGTGCACTTCTGTTATTGCTTAGGAGATACAGGAAAAAGAAACAAAGAAGATTTTGGGAAGATAAGAATTTGATGCGCGATATGAATCAATTCGCAAGTTCTTGCGATGCGTAGAGGGAGCTCGCACATTTTGTCGCATCGCAGTTTTGTGTACGAGCCCTATAAGGTCGTGATCATTTTGAGCTAAAGCCTGTTAAACTAATCGTAGCTATAAATGTGACATCAACTCTAGACGAAACGACAATGAAGTAGAAGCCAATTTTAAAGATGAAACTGTCAAACACCAAGCGGTCACCGGTGACCGCAACCTATTGTTCTATAATTGTGTCTATAATGACGGTACTTAACGAGTTAAATATCAAATTGACATTGAAAATCACCCCTAAACGGGGAGTGTGTATAGGACTGATGACAGTTACTCAAGTGTCACTCAACAACACTGACCCTAACCCAGTTGATTAAGGTCCGAAGAAAGATAAAATAAAATACTTTTAAATGAGAATATTCATTTTTTTTTGCCCTACTGACATCATTGTTTTATCTTTTATATTGACGGTGTATACAATAGTTGCTTAATAGGAAGATACATAGGATATACATATTATTTTTGTTATGGGATTTTCAACTTTATTGCTTAAGCATTATAATGTATTAGTAATGCTTTTCGATAGAGATGTAGTGTAGCTTATTAATAGAGAAGTATTTATGGATTAATGGTCGTAATACGTATGACTTTTTGGTTGTGTATCCTCAACGGCGATTGCTTATCAAAAGACGTTAAGTTCACTGTTTAATTGTAGGGTGCCTAAAACTTTTAAGGAGTTAGATCTTCAATAACAGCTTAGCTTGAGTAAATAAATGGTAAATTGTTTATTATGTTAGAAAAGAGTTTTAAAGTTCAGTTCCAATGTGGTCCTAAAAAGAGAACATATGTTTGATTAGCCAGACCAAACGTCTAAAAAAGCCACCACAGACTCAAAATTAGCACCAATTTGCGACTAGACAAAAACCATAAATCATTAAAAACTAATTAACTAGTTACAAAAATTAATACATAATTCTTACTGACAGCTACGAGCAAATTGATCAACATTATTTAAAAAAACATTACGGTACACTTGGCATTCTTGTCATAAGGTCAGTGACCTGGCGGCCGCAAGTTTTACTAATTAGCCGCTGTGGTCCAATATCGCTGCGTTTGGGCAAGTCTAACTGTTGATAGAGGATTTTGGACCTTATGGGAAGTGGTTGGAATACAAATTGTAATATAGCAGGTTAGCGTATGGAGTCCTTAAGAGCCTTGTCAAAAAAGATATGATAATAGTGATTAAATAAGAAAACATCCGACAGAATTGAATTTTGGTAGAAACCTCGAGCACAACAATAGATATGGACAAACCAGCCCCCATATGTGCTAAAAAGTTATTGAATATCAAAAAAAGATTTCAAATGTGTAAAGTTACGATGAAGAGACCTTTTAGCCCTTTAAAATTATGGAGTAGATGTGCTTTCAACCCTAACTAATACAAAATCAAAGCATTTATTTCAATTGGTCTACATGCAAGCACTTTTGATACGCCAAAAATTAAATGATATGTCAGTAAACAGTGGTGTAACTGCAGTATAGCAAGTCAGCAATATGCCATGGGCTCCGATCCGGGAGGGTCTCTAGTTCAGAATTTCTTATCTGAACCATTCATTTTTAGGAAAAGGGGCTCATCCAATGATTTTTCCACGGGCCCCATAGTTACGCCACTGTCAGTAAAGCTAGGTGCTCTTTCCCGAAATGAAGATTCGCATGAAGGGTCTTTA